TGCACTTTAAGTTTCATGTCGACCCATCTAGACAGCCTCTTCTCGAGTTGACAGGTTTTACCATGATGGCTTGACGAGCTTGCTCCAGCTTCACAAGAGTTCACAGGTTTCACCAGAGTGAGACTTGTAAACCAGAACTAGTGAAGCAACGAAAGTGCAAAATGCCCCCCCCCCTCTCCCCCTTGGCGAACTGCGCCCTAAGGAGTATATACTAATTTGTCACTTCTTTATATATCTACCGTTTGAGAGACTTTTTCTTACAACGGTATAGGAAATCTACTATTTCCTTTAATTTTTCCTGGTTACAGGTCATTCCCTCCGAACTGGAAGCGTTACTGGTCACTCACCCAGGAGTTGCCGAAGCGGCTGTCGTCGCCATTTCTGATCATGAGGCTGGAGAGAGGTACTTCTTGAATCCTCTTATTGTTTCTCGGTTAATCATTGGACTTGAGGGGATATTTCGCGATTAATGGTCGGAAATGTCGTGGGCAGAGGGATAAGAAATTAGAAGTGTATGTGGTACCGTGTTACCCTTCTTTTTCCCTAACGCTGATCACAGGTTACTGTTTCTATGAGATGTCGCCACCTTCTGCTATAAAAGGCATAACCTGCCGTGGCCTCCATTGGAATGATTTCTGCATGACGTCTTCCCACCTTTTTTCCAGAATTACCCGCGGGGGAAAAAGAGAGGGAAATTATCGGATACGCCTCGAATGAGTCTTTCTTCGCTCTAAGGGGAAAGGCAAAGATTCGTTGGATGTCTGAGTCTGGGAACCAGGAAAGAAGAGCTAGAGAATATTATAAACAAGCTAAACGATGGACAACAGTGCAGGGCGGAATCGCTTGCTTTTAGGTGGAGATACTCGCAGTTGATTTTTAGCCTTAAACACTCCTTCAGAGGCGCAATTCGGCGGCGGGGGGCATTTTGCACTCTCGCAGCTTCACCAGTTCCGGTCCACAAGTCTCACTCTGGTGAAACCCGTGAACTCCTGTGAAGCTGGAGTAAGCGCTCAGTCAAGGCACCAATGGTCAATAATTGTAAAAATTGTTACATTGAATAAATAAATAAATGGTTAAAGCTGTCAACTCAAGGAAAGGCCCTTCAGAGAAGTCGGAGGGGAAGTGCAAAATGCCTCACCACCCGCGTGCAGAACTCCTGCTCGCTTTCATATTTCTGACGCAAATACGACCGCGCGTAGCTAGGTAGCTTCAAAACGTAGAAGTTTTCCCCTCCCCATGACTTTGATTCATACAAATGTTCATGCTAAATGCTTTTAAACAGATCCGAGGCGACTAAATTTTTATAATTACAAGATATGCGCTTGGTTTGACTGTCGCGCCATCACCGTTTTCCATCGGCAGATGAGTTAAAAGTGTTCGTCAATATAGGAAAAGGAGTGATGGAAAGGTTTTTTAGGCCCGTAGCCTTCGTTGTTCTTAACAAAGATAAACCGGCGAGTACAAAGCAAATAATGGACTATGTCAATGGTGAGTTGTATTTTGAATAGCAAAATAGGCAGATTTTATTTCTGTTGAATGTCCGGCAGGGGGTAAGGGATTCGAAATTCTCACGAACCTTTCCCTCATCTGATATACCGTAGTCAAATGTACTTCAGAACGCGTGGTACGATACAAGAGATTGGTGCAAGTGAATGTGGCTCAAACGCTTCCTCGATCACCTTGCGGCTCGTTATTACGTCGACTTCTCGCTCAGGCTGCTGTCCTCAGTGTCTGCAATATGCCTTGATATATGGCAGTCATTTTATGTGCATAGTGAATGCGATCCGGGTACTAGTATTACTAGTCTTTCCGTCTTCTTCTGTTTCTTTCTGTTCCCTGGTTAATAAAACATTAAATATCACTGATACTGCGAATTTACTTCATTGCAAAAAATCATGTATCAACGCACATATCAGGCGATGACAATCTGCATTGAGGACAATGACAACACTGTCCAAACTGAAATCTCCCTGTACTAATTTAATAGTACACTTGACTCCGCCCACTTACAATGGATTTATTGAAAATATCGACACCTTATAAATTTATTCTCCGACATCCGATTTTGGTGATCCTTTCACAGATATAATCTATTAGGTTGGCGGGAAAGTTCTGTCACTTTTTCGAACTCAAAATATTTGTCCATTACCTGAAGAGGGGTGAACGGTAATGTGAGCACTTATACATCAAAGAGTGGTCTTTCTATTAGTACCACTCGCTTGATTCCTGCTTCTTCTTCTTCTGCAATATGGACAAGAATGTTATCCGCTACCATCGCCACCGACCAAATGCTTCTGATAGTGCAGCGCACTTCCAAAAAAGTTCTAGCCGTTCCTCATGCAATAGAGCTGGATGGCTCTCCCCTTGCAGTGGTGTAGCACAGACATTGCTCCTTCTAACTGCGAGTTGCCTCCCGTAATCAATCATTACATCATTTACTGGATGAGAAATTACGATAAAACCTGCGGAAAGTAGGTTGAGATGATGTCCAGAATTGTATGGCGCCTTCCTGATTGTAGAAAGCGATGGCATCCATGAGGTGCTAAAAAACAGGCAAGGACTCCGCAGTAACATTGCTGTACAATTTTGATCTCACACGCTTCTCTATAAAAGGAAAGCCCAATTTGAAAAAAGTGACAGAACTTTCCCGCCAACCTAATATATACCATTTTCACTTTAAATTCACCCCTTTTCAAACCAAATTCACCCTTTTTCAAACCAAATTCACCCGTTTTCAAACCAAATTCACCCCTTTTCAAACCAAATTCACCCACCTTCCAAATCGAATTCACCACACTTATTAGGCTGCGCAAGTCATCTACCAAATCACGCCAGACACTACTGCGGGCCCCGCCCCTCGGCCACGCCCACTTGCTTTTTGCGGAATTTTGATATTTTTTTCAAAATTTTTGCATTTTTGGACTGCTGCGTTATAGCCCCGCCCACTTTTCAAAAATGGTGTAAATCGGCAGTATAGGGTCTTGGCTTTCATGCTAGGGTCTCGTTCGTCACTCGGAACAAACTTTGCCTGATTTTCTTGTTCCGAGTGACGAACGAGACCCTAGCATGAAAGCCAAGACCCTATACTGCCGATTTACACCATTTTGAAGGGGGGGGGCTTCTCCAAAAGTGGGCAGGGGCTTCACGCAGCAGTCCAAAAATGCAAAAATTTTGAAAAATATCAAAATTCCGCAAAAAGCAAGTGGGCGTGGCCGAGGGGGCGGGGCCCGCAGTAGTGTCTGGCGTGATTTGGTAGATGACTTGCGCAGCCTAATAAGTGTGGTGAATTCGATTTGGAAGGTGGGTGAATTCGATTTGGAAGGTGGGTGAATTTGGTTTGAAAAGGGGTGAATTTGGTTTGAAAACGGGTGAATTTGGTTTGAAAAAGGGTGAATTTGGTTTGAAAAGGGGTGAATTTAAAGTGAAAATGGTATATATAGAAGCAATTTTAACACGTTGACGACCGCGCGGGTTTTTACTTTTTCGGCCTCGTGGGACACGCGCGCTTTCTCGAACGCCACAAGCGCGGTACGCATACAATTCACGCGGTCCCACGAGGCGCTTTTTTTGGAGAGTGGATCAGAAAACCTGGTTTAGAGAGCAATTATGAAGTAAGTCAATCAGTCACTATGGAAAAAAATTAGGCTGGCCAACTCTCGTTGCACTAGGTGCCAGAAATTTTTCTGTATTCAATGTTTTCATAAAAACACACGTCGTGCCCACTATAGGATTCAGGATCTTTCATCTCATTATTTTTTATCAATATCAGTATTGTATTTGTCTGTATTTGCTAGTAAAAAGTTGAAGAGCAAACCAATCCAGTGTTGAGGAGCAAACCAATCCAAGCAAAGGGTGTTCTTTCCCCAGGAATTCTTTGCTAAACTAGTGTGTACTGAACTATTCCATGGACCACGCGTTGTACGAGTATACTAAGGACTGGACTATAGAATGAATAGGAGAAACTAAACAAAAAATCATGCACTAGTGAAAGATATGGATTTGTTGATCGTGATTCGTATTCAATGCACGCGGTCCCACGTGGCCTACAAAGCGTGCATTCAATGCGTATCACGCGGTCGTCAATGTGTTCATAGCACCTACATTATGCCTCTCCCTCTCGGCCACACCTCTTTTTAGACATTTCAATGTTTGTTGACAAATTTAATTGTTTAAAAATTCGAAAAAAATTGAAAACATGATTTTTAGGATGCATATATTTTGTCACTTCGAAGATCTACTAAAAGATAATACGCATGCAAGCCTCACCCACTTCGGTCAAACCCCGCCCATTTTGTAGAATTTATGATTTTTTTTAAATTTTCGAAACTTTCAACCTCTCTCACATCCAGCCCCACCCACTGCGATAAGTCCCGCCCAGTGTGGGGAAAACTTCGCCCGTGGGGAACTCCATTGTATGACATGTTCAAATGACACGCCTACTCCACCTGAGAGTTAAGGTGCATGCAGATTCTCCGAAGATAATGCACTGTGGATAGGTGATGTCAACCTTTAAAGGCACGGTCCGCGATCAGGTATCGAAGTTGAAAATATGGCGTCAGGAGGTTAGAGTGGTCCGCGACGAACAACCTTGTACCGGTTTCGCGGCAAAAAATTCTAAGGGAGGGGCGCTATAGCGCAATATATCCTTTTTTTCCAGTGACTCCGCCTCCAGACTCCGCCTCCAATGCCCGGCTTTCAGTGAAAAACGAGATTGCAGGACGAAAAAGCATGAAAATCGTCACTTGTACGATCGTAGAGTTCTTATCGGTGAATCAGCTGTGCGTATGAGGGCGTAGTGTGGGAGATAGTTAATTGGGCACGTACAAACTGGGATCAAAACGGGGTTCTATCTAGGGCAGAGTGGCATGTTTTTGTGCTTTTTTTCTTCACTGTCGAGTTACTCAACCCCTTGTCGTCTATATGGAACCCCCTAATCCACTATCTGAGATGGCGAATAATCGCGGGTTAGTGCCTTTAAGTCTTTCATCCAGACAAAATAATAGGTACCGCAAAATTAGCTGCAACAGAGCACTGCGACGCGTACACTTTTAATAAAATACATACCTTTTACAACATGTCCGAACTGAGATCGATTTGCAGGAACGGTGACTATGGTAGGATGACGGGCCAGCAATCTCGAAACGTCCCACTTGTAAAAAGGTCTGTTGCAGTCGAGCTCTATAAGCGAAAAGTCATTGAGTTCAGTGGCCACTACATCCAACTTCCGAGCTATACAAGTTCTAGCCTGAGCCACTCCAAATAATTTTTTAACAAGTCAAGGTCATTGCTTCGGTGCAAACGGCGGTGTCTCAACGGAAGCAGAAAGCAAAAAAAACAGCTGCGAGTTTGGGGGAGGGGGGAAAGGTACTGTGTAATCCAAATGTGCAGAAATCCTGCGATAACGGAGTAAACAATCAAAAAAATGAAGACTCGTGAAGACGTAAAAGGGAAATTTCCAAAAATTTCGGCAAACAAATTCGCTTCCTTCTCTCTGAGCTTTTAGATGCAGTAGTACTT